CCAATGAGGGATTATATACAGCCATTTATTATATATATATATATATATGAAAGAAAAACCCTGATAGATGAAACTTTAAATACCACAACGCCGTGCTGAACGATACTTCATGATTTGAAAGGAAACATCTCCTATGAAAGTACAGGATGAATTTATATAGCCTTCACACGGCAGTCTGATAATCAATCCCGATGACAAGAGACTAATGTATTTGTTTTGTAAATCTCTTCTGAGAAACTTCTTTTTATTTATTGAAACACTTTTTTTCAGAATATTCAAGCTAACAAAATGCAATGAAATGTCTTTATTAAGAAATGTGTCATAAATTTACAATGCAATGAATTATGTAAAACACAGCTCTAACACCAATGGAAAATAACATTAAAAAAATTGTTGTTGTTCTATTCCAAGTATACCGACACTAAAAAGGTCATATGACTCTGCTTTACTGGTATCCTTTTATGTATTATTCCAGGATAAAAGCTGACGCCTGAGTAGTACCATCGATCCTCAAAATGCTTGCTGAATAGCTTTCTCACATGACGGAATCAAAAGACCCTGAAAATGTTTTTGAAAACATAGTTGTGAAAATGAATTCTAATTACTAGAACATCCTGTGATTCACAACTTTAGGATAAAATTTATCTGAATGACGAAATGTTTACAATAATCTATACAAAAAAAAATAAATCTATCTGCATGCAATTTAACTGTATACCGACCACAATATGATAAAAGTAAACTGCAATGGAATTAATGAAAGATGGATGTAATCAAGTTCATTAACTTGTACGTTTATGATTAAAGACAAAAAAATTATTGTAAATAATGCATTGCAACACATTTCTTAAATCAAGCAAACGAGTCCTCATATTTGTTGGAGCTCAATCATCTAGAGTTAAAGATGCAAGCCTTTTATCGACTGCATTTTTGTCTCCATCATCTGTTTCCATATCTTCTTCGATTTTTATGGAAGTGTCATCTTGTTCAATTATTCTTCGTTTTTCTGAATCTAAATTTGATAGTGTGATCCATCAGTATTACAAATCTTTAAGACAAAGCCAACGGGGAATAAGTAATGCATATTTAAATGGGAAATGTTCTTAAAACTGTCCATTATATAAGAGATTGGCTGACCAATGTGTTGTGCGTTGAGGTCTGATTTTTCTCTCATATAATGGCCATTTGGAATAGTTTTTATTACTTAAAACATGTTCGTTATGTTCAATTGAACAGTAATAAATTCGTTCATTTCATTCAGAACTGCAAATATTTACTTAATCGACAGTAGAAATAACTTTTTTAAAGGGACAAAAATATATGTAGGTACAAAGGACGATTACTATACTTTACTATTATTTGTTTATGTTTCGTGAAATATTTAAACATCATTATCGGTTATACGTTTGGGATTTGATTCATATTGTAAAAACAATGTGAAAGTAATAGTGTTTTCATAAACAATGATTCTTAACTTTTACCCATCATAGTTCTTATTTATCTTTACAACTTTTCATTATATAACTGATACAAAGTTGCTAATTTGCAAGAATTCAATGAAACAAAACATTTGCTAAAGAATGGCCATGAGAGGCAACATGTTTGGTAAACACCATGTTTGTTTGATATATCCAAAAGAAACTAATTTAAAGATTTGTTCTTGTTTCCAAACGTTCGATTTCCAGCTAGTAAATAAAGAATGAATGCGGCGTCGATATAAACAATATCAAACACATTGTTTTAGAATTTTTTTTAAGTAGTAGAAACGGGAAACATAAGTGTAACTTTTCATTATGTTTTGTACATGTATATTAAAGCACACTGTTTAAAGGTTACTTAAAATCCAAAGCTCACGTTTAAGTTGTATCCTTATCTATTTTAATTCAATTATTCATTTGTTTCACTAATTGATTATTTTATTTCCGAACTTATTACAGAAGAGTTCATATGGCGACATTCTAGCTTACTCCTGGGGAAAGACGTCAGATATCTCAGCGTGCATTTTTTTCTGGCACGATCGGGCACCTTAGTAAATCCGTAAGTTAACTTGATAGCTTCCACATATGAAAGAAATTAAAGTCCCTTGCGCTATTCAAACCTAAAGTTGTTAGGGCCAAACAGTTTTAAATTGTTAGGGCCAAGTAGTTTTAAGTTAACGGTCTCTTAAGGTTTTTACATCAAATTTAAGGAATCAAAACAAAGTATTTTAAGTAAAATTACCATTCCATTCCTTTGAACTTAGAATGTTTGATATTGGGCATGCAACCTCAATTCGAACCTTACTCGAATAGCCATGTTCGATACCTTCTTTATTCCAGTACCAAGATGGAATACCTTGTAGCAGAACCCCAACTAAAGCAATGTCTCCGTCAGGTGTAAATGACACTACAGCGCCTCCACTTGCTCCGAATTCTAAATATGTGTCAAGCAGCAAATAGTCATCACTGTCATAATAATACTCGTAACATTCTTCAACATCATATTTATTGTGTCCGTTTCTGACAAGCTTACTTTTATTTGCCTTGAGCCATTTTTTAATTTTTTTAACCTTTTTATCTTCTTTTGATATTATTTTGCAACCGGGGTCTATAACCTGAAAAGGAAATACTGATAGCTGAATTATACTTTAAATTACATGACTTGTTTAAGACTTGTTCTTTTTAGAATCTTAGGAATTGCAAGTTGTTGTTATGACAGGTAATGTCCAAATATAATTACAGTTTAAAGAGATTATGGATATAATAATGAAATGTAATACGATAATATCTCAGTTTTGTACAGATACAGATTAGAATTAAATATTTTCTATAGTGTAGCAAAATAGATAAATACTTGATTAAGTTTTTGTCCTTCTTTTGATATTAAAATCTGAAACATTTAAAATATATTTTCTTACAACAATCATTGTGGTTGGATGTTGTCCTATGACATGTACGAATTTGCTTTGGGGTGTCCCCTCCCACATTTGTCGAAAGTCCCTGAAATCTTTGAATGGTGCAGGAACGAGGCTGCTATCACAATCCAATTCCAGAATACAAGCATCCTTAGCTCTGTCAAGAAAGCATATTTTTGGTAACAATCCAGATCGACAGTCATGCTCTTTGTTTTTAGCATCTTTATTAAAGCCAACGTTAACAACGTCTTTCTTTTTTAAATTTTCTAAGTTCATGCTATTTTGAGGCCTACCATTGTTATCGATCCGCCCGGGGGTTGCTGAAATACACAAAATAATCATTAACAATAAGGTTGTGTTTACTCAGTCATTATAAGTCATCATTAATCGTTACTTTATTATCCGTTAAAAAACACTTTGCAACCTCAATACAACAGCCGGACATCCCATGATTGGCTTTTGCAGAGTGATGGCTGTTTTTCGGAGGATTTGTCTCAAAGATAAAACTTTAATTTGTCCCTCACCGATTCAACCGGGTGGTATTTTAGATTTGACCTCCATCTGTCCATCCTTCTCTTCATCTACAAATTTGTTCATGTGATAACTCAAAAAGAACTGAAGATACTTTAATGCCACTTACAGATGGTACTCTGGAGAGTATGCACGTATTTTTTCTTCCCATACCGAAAACGTTTGTTGTTATGGCAATGAATAGACATTAAAATGGTAAATATGTCTTTCCAAAAAAGTGGATCCCGAGATAACACAAAAAGCACTTAAGATATTTTATGAAACTTGAAATATGAGTAGATGACAGTCTGGAAATTGCACACGTCACTTTAAGCTCGACTAATCATGCTATATGGAGTTTATTGAGAGCTGTCATATTCACTCAGCTTCTACGATCGCGTCAGATCTCTGATTAAAGATTTTTGTTTAAAATACTTTTAACTGTTACTTCTTTATTGTTTTTGGCATTTACACCAAACTTCAAGAATATTTTAAAGGCTTAACAACTCTTGCACAAAACAAATCAGAATTACCTGGCTTTAACTTAGCATTTTCATGAAAGAAATATTTGTTTTCTATAGCTTCTTTCTTTCGAAAGGTGTCTACTTCACGTTATTGTAAGTATATAGTCCTTATTTTGAATCAAATCATGTACAAAAAGATACAATAATCTAGCATGACTTTTTTTCATGAAATTGTTATTTTTACTCAAACAATATTACAAGGTTTATAAAATCTAGTGTCCATATTTTCAGAATTGTCTCCCCCTTAACCTTTGAATCGTCCTAATTTATTCTGTAACTCATATTGTTTTCATGAATTCACTTTAAATTTTAAATATATGTTCATTATCAACACCTACATCATATGTGATAAGATTTATATATTTAGCGCCTGGGTTTTCATGATTATATTCATTTTAAATTTATTCAAAAATTGTTAAACTCAAATGAATTTAACTAAAAAATTTAGTTCTATTTCAATCTAGATCAAAACCATATTTTATTATGTTTTGCTACTTTTATACTTACAAACAATTGGTTGAATAACGTGCCATGCAGTCAAAATAAAATTTGACCCAATTCTGATCACCGTCCCCCTTGGTGCGTTATTCCAATATAATAGACCGACTGATTTCATCATCTCAGATAGTTTATCCATCGCAATGTTGGACAATGTTCCATCAATAGTTCTATGAAAATTTACATGTTTCTTCTGTCCATTCAATAGTTGGTCAGTTTCACCTGCTTAGTATGTACAGTATACCAATAGTTAAGCATGAATATATACAACATTGTACAATGCTAACTGAAAATAAACTTGATATATTATATTAATTATTTCATAATTATAGAACGAGAACTTGATGTAAACTGTAGAAAGCTTTTCTTTTGAGTATTATATAATATAAAATAATGCAGGAATACTGTACAGTGAAATCTATTGCGATAATATCGTATCGATCTTAATTGTGTATTTATTTTGTTTTATTGTGTATATAAAAAAGATTGGTAAACTATATGTTCATGTGAACAATAAATCGTTATTAAGATAGCGTCACACCGTTTTAATACAGTACTTCTGTAAGACTTTTTTGGTGCGCAAATTGACGGTTTCATTTGTATATTTGCTTAAATTTGTTAAAAATTAATAAAACAATATTTGTGAGTATTTGAAATATTAAATTTAATCATACATTTGTTTAAAAAAAACATTTATGAAAACGTGCCGTCGGTTTATAAGATAACATCAGTGCTTACCTGTCGGTGATAGGATTTGTTGTGTTGTTATAACATGTGATGCACTCCGTCCTCTTTGACGTCTACAAAAATAAGACGAGATGTTAATGATAATAACAAAAATATCAAAACATAAATAGTTTATACACTGTTACTATAAATACTAGATATATAATATAGTATTACATTTTAACAAATTTCAATATTTTGATATCTTGATGTGTTTAAAGACAAAATAATATCTTAGCCTGCTTTGGAAGTTTTGACAACTATTGATACTGACTCAAGACAGAAAAACTAAGCTAGAGCTTGTAGCAACGTAAAGGATTTCAACGAGCGGAATATTTTTATAACCAGCAAGCTTCTAAAACAGGACTACTGCTATCATAAATTACGGAAATGTTTTACTAAATTTTACAATCGTAACTTTAATTAACTTCTAAATTCAATAGTGATTTAAAAACTCTTCTGCGACAAGGGATTAGCCAGCCTGGTTTTTTCAACTTGGGTGGTTCCAGTATTCCTACTTGAATACTGTATAATCACCCTTAGAATATGTTGTCTGCTTTTTAAATGTGTCTTTTGTCGTCTTGTCTGTGCAATGCAGACTTCATAACCTCAGATCCCCTTTCAAAATTCCATTGTATTTAGTTCCGCCCATTGTTTTCTCGTTTAGGGCACACGCATTCTTTTACTTGGGGACCATACGCCGCTTTTCATGGAATGGCACTACTGTGTCACATTGATGGCCGTATGAACACATCTGCGGATGTTTCTAAATTTTACCATTTTTCGTGCTTAAATGTTGAATTCTGTTTAAGCCGGTGTTAGGGGGCGTGGACGGTTGCTTGCACTTTCCAGTACCGTTCATGAACAGGCTCAATCAAACCGAGCCTGCAACATTTTCAATTTTGATGTGTTGAGCTTTCTTTAGGGATTCTGTATTTCCCTATTTTATGGCGATGTGATTTACAAACTTCGTAAGATTTTGGGTCATGGTATTTTTTCTGCTGTTTTTACTAAAATCATTAAAAGTTTAAAAGAGGTTATGACCCTACTATTTTAAGACATACTGCGTGTTAAGTGTTCAACCCTTTTACAGTTGGACACTACGCTTTCCTCTTTTGATTACATCTGACGGACCAAGTGGGAGACTCTTATAACGCTTTTTATTACTTTGGGAACATACGCCGCTTTTCATAGAATGGCACGGAAGTGTCACATTGAAGGTTCCATGATAACCGCCGTATGAACACATCTGCGGATGTTTCGAAATTCAAAATATTACTATTTCATGTTTAAATGTTGAATTCTGCTTAAGCCGGTGCTAGGGGGCGTGGACGGTAACTTGCACTTTCCAGTACCGTCCATGAACAGGCTCAATCAAACCGAGCCTGCAACAGTTTCAATTTTGCCGTGTTGGGCTTTATTTAGGGATTCTGTATTTATCTATTCTATGATGGATAGTTCGTAAAGCCCTTTGGGACTGAATTGTCTTAATGTTCGTCTTCTGTCTTGTTTCGTCGGGCTACCATATTTTTTTCGACAAGCATTATAATCGATATCGGAAGGAATTCGATATTTTGGTCCTTTAAGAAATAAATAACGGTTCTCTTGTCGTTTATTATATCAAAATCACCAGTGATTATATGGCCAAAATCCTAAATACAGAATTTAGAATTTTTGCAGTCTCAACTAGATGGTGTTTTAGTCTTAACGTCTAGGTCAGAGACAATTTTTTTTATAATTAAGTATGATATTTCGGACAGGTGTTTTATATTTATAGCAAATAATTGGAATCTTGGAGTTTTTGAAATATTTAGGAATCGCGTCGGTAACGCGTTTATCACGAAAAATACTAGGTAAATCGATGAAATCAATACCTTTGTTTAGAAAAGTTACTTTAAGAAATTTCCTGACATGTTCAGCGGTGGTGTCAATATGAGGTCTTAAAATATGTTGTGTAAACCTTTGTATAAGGTAGGCTGCAGTATATAAAGGATCAGTTTGGATATCAATGCTAACAGCTTCTTCATCTAAAGTTTTTAGAGACCGTTAGACGTGATAACATAGCATGTCTTCCCGAATTAGTCAAGATGTTATTTAGATCGGAAACAGACATAGTAATTCTAGATTTACGTGTGATGTTACCATTTTTACGTATTCCTCGAGAACGAGATTTCCGCTTCCATATGTTAAGAATAGAAAAAAATGTCAATACTGGGATCTTTAGAAATATTACCTTTTAAAAGATATTGTCATAAAGGCCAAGTGGAAAAGGGGTTTGTAAATTTTTAATCCATTTCAACTCAGCTAAGTTGAGTGATGAATAATTGATTTTGATATGCAAGTTATTTTTATTATTTTTAGCTGATTTGGTTCTGGAATGTAGCAGACCACTCCTTGTTTAAATCTCAAAGTGAAAACATCTATATAAGTTTACTGTCAGTTATTTTTTATAGAAATACTTGCTTATATCTGATAATCAATTAACTTATTTTGAAAAATCTCTTCTATCTAGCATTCCATGTATATATTTATTTATTTGTGAAATTGTTTTTATTGGAATTTGAATTGTTGTATAATAATTTGTATTATGTATTTTGTGAAATGTTATGTCTTGTAAAATATCTGTTTTGTAATGTGAAGTCTTATTGTTATTTTATTTGTTGCATGTTTTATGCTTACGATAGAATAAATATATAAACCTCGTTGAGCGTTTACCTGTAATAACAGCACACCGCTATACATGCATATAACATAGCGAATACACAAAAAGCTATTATTATCAACATGCCAATGGTGCATGTACCAAATACAACCAGAAAGATCATGTGATCGGTCTCAGTCATTTTATCAGGATCTGAAATATGTTATAAAAGTCATTTGCTTTTTGTCACATTAATATTCCAAATACCCGTTGGTAAAGTGAACAGATACATGTATGTGTTTAATTTAGAAAGAAATTACAGAATTAGTGTGAGGCGGTTTTGACAGTGTGACTGTTAAAAACATTAAGTAACAAATGTTTTTGCTAACATAGAATGATGATTTGTTATTTAAAACAGCCAACCTACAGGTGAAAAATCTAAACATTATTCGACATCAGAATAACAAAAATCGTTCCTGCTACAGATTCATTTGCTTTATTTAAAGATCATTTGAAGATCATGCATTCATAGTCATAATAAAACCCAAAGATTCATTGACTAGAAAAATAGAGCGGATATCGTGAGTGATACGAAAGTTACAAAAGAGATAAGATGAAATGACCGTATTTACAAAACATTCCCCATTTCATCGCAACTCCCCTACGCCGTGAAACTTCATTCTCATCTGTAGTCAGCTTCCTGTCATCCTTAAAATGAAATTATTAAAATTATCTAAATATAATTATTTTCAACATTTAATCATTTTCCTTTATGTTATCTTTACTCTTGATTACGTTTTTATATTTAGGAAATAATTTATCCCAAACTATGATTTTATTGCTCAATAACATCACTGTTTGGGGTTTTGATGCGGGGAAGTATATCACGAGGGCGTAGCCCGAGTGATATAATGATGCGCATCCGAACGACAAACAGTGATTTTATCAAGCAATAAAATCGCCGATTTGGATATATTATTTCGATTCTAACACGACATCAAGAAATAAATGCTGCAGCTAAATTGCGCCTGATTTGTTTCCGTACTTATTGTCACATTTTTAATGATTACGTCACATGTCTAAATAAAGAACGTCAAACAGTGACTTTATAGCATAATAACACACACTTTCGGTTCTTCTATGTTAAATAGGGAAAAATGCGGGTCGTGTTAGAATTTACTATAACATTATATCTGTATATATGAAAACTAGCAAAAGATGACTGCACAAGAGTTTATCTTTATAGACAAGTAATGAAAATGTGTATAAATCCTTATATTCATCAGATATTCACAGTAACTTTTTATACATACGGGTCTTCAAACGTTCAGTTATGTATTACTCTATTTTTATATGATCGTAAATTGAACAGTTTTGTATTAAAATTGTTACATATATAAAGGTGTTCTACACGTTTTCGTACTTTGCAGATGATATTGTTAATATATTTAGAATGTAAAGCGATAGACAATTCATATCTTTATTTGTTAATAACGTATATAATAATAATAATAATAATGATTATAATTATAATAATTATAGTAATATGAATTATTTAATACAAATAAACGTTATGAACTAATACCTTTGACTCTATTGGTTCTTTTGCAGAGACGTGTAGAATGATAAGGAACAAGCATACAAACGTAAACTTTATCTTCATTTTTGTTTCGTTTCAGGTTGTTGTATATACACAAAATACAATCGCCAGATCGTTTGTAGATAGGCCACTGAAATTTTATTTAAATTTTCCATTACCATGAAAGACAAAGCAAAGTTTATTCAAGAATATTATTTATGATAATTGACAGAAGTTGTTTTGTAGTAAAATGTTTTAATATTATCGCGATTTTAATACTAAAAATCTTGGTCGTTTGACTGGTCCTTTAAATTTAAATAATCATTAGGCACGAGATATAAATCAGTTAAAATATATTGGCACCACGAATGAATGGATTGTTTGAAAAGATAACGTTTTGACAAAGTCTATTGTGTGTTTTACAAAACTAAGTAGACATACGTAAAAAGCAAATTGTTATGATCACGCAACTAGAGTTGTGTGCATAACAAAAATGTATAGGATATCAAAATATTTGATCTTTGACCAAAAGGATTATTCAAAACAATACAATAGCCCTTTCAAAAATGTAAAGAATACTAATTATGCAAAGAATTTAATTCGAATGATGATAAGTTGATGATTGGATATTTCGTGAAATTATAATGTGCATTTGCATGTTATCTATAGCAAATAAAAATATTTATTGCCAAATCCGATTTCACTATTTATTGCAAATAGAATATTATTATGGAAATGTGTCTGTTTTGTAACGAATTTTAACAACAAATCAAACTAATTGGAAAACGATATAATTATTCTGAACTCTACTTTGTGTAATGATATCTCACTACGTCAAATTTGGAAAATGTCTGTTATATTATTGTATGAGTAACTAAAATAATGCCTGGCTTAAAAATGGTGGACGCCTGTCAAAGCACGAACAATGGTTTTATCATTAAAAATGAACTTGTTCAAACTTTAAGTGGTAGTTATTTTTTCTCCATTTTAAACGTTATCATTTCCTTACATTTCAGAATCTATGATGGTAAAAGGAAACGAGTATTGTTTTCACCAAAGACTTAACTCTATGATTTGATGTCATTTATACGAAATCCTAAAACTATCAAATAAAATGAAATAAGATATTGGTAAGGCGTTATAACGCGCATCAAAAGGCGTAATAACGCGAATAAAGTGTGAGTCCCTTTCACAAAATCAACTTTATATTAAACTTAACATATATTAACTTATATTAAACTTGCGTTCATTGAACGCCGCCTTTCCTTGTTGATCTTGCTTATCATATTTTAACATTAAACATAAAATTAAATAACATAGATAATTTAAAACTAACAAAATATAAGGGGATAAAACATCATTTTTATTGATATGTTCTTATATTTATAAATACTATATAATGTATAATAACGAAAGGCAATATTATAAAGAATAAAAAAATCTTCAAAAAATGTAGAATAATAAAATATGAAATTTTCTTTACGTTTACCTCAGGTGAAAAAATGTCCTTCCTATGGCCTTGTCTTCTCAACAAATGTATTTCAATATCAAATTAAAAAAGATTGGGAAACCATGAGGTAATCCGCAAACATTACAAATATCATCATAAACGTATATAGCAGATTGTTTTACTCGAGTTCTTTATGTAACCCCGAATTTCAGTACTTTTAACTGAGCATCTATTTATAAGCCATATTTAACATGAAGTTAATCATGAAAGGTATTACACGAACACATTCATCAGATTTGAATTATAAAATATACTTCATATTGCATTAATAAAATATACTTCATATTGCATAAAAAATATTGATCCACCCCAGTATATATCATTAAATTCGAGTGTTTAAGGTAAATATTGATCAATCTGTGCGCTTTAAAGATTGAGGTGACTTGCTCGATAATATCAATTGACAATCTGAACAAAAGGATTGGTAAAAAAGAAGATTTATCACGCGACTACAAATGCGAATGAACAAAGTGACTTTCAACCCCGAATGGCAGTTAAAAGTTATCTTTTAGCGATTATTATTTCGTGTTAAACGTTAAGTACTTTATGTAAACGTTAAAGATCCTGTATGTTTTGTGATTAATATTGTTACTGTGTTTATTTAAGGTCGCCGTCGGACAGTCCATATGGGCGACCGTACACTCAAGTCGGGTCATCCTAGAGCGACCCGCCGAGATTTTTCGTCGATTTTTTCCAGCTGTCCTCCGGGCATTATTTCAGGCACGAGCGGGCACCTGGGTAGAACCACCGACCTTCCGTAATCCAGTTGGATGGCTTCCTCACATGAAAGATTTCGACCCAAGTAAGGATCGAACCTACAGCGGTGAGGGACCTGTGATCTCAAGTCAGCGACCTTAACCACTCGGCCACAGAGGCCTCCTCCCCCCCCCCCACCCAAACAAAGTGTTTATACCACACTTACAAAAATTTATATTATATAATTATGCAGATAAAACAATTTTCAAACATCGAAGAATATGTAAAATGTGTACTGCAAATATTTGTGCACATTACATTTAATCAATAAGTTATGTGCATTCATTTCTTATTGGAAAACTTGAGTTAGAATTTATAGAAGATAAATTTCTTATTACCCTCCTTTATTTACATGAAATGTTAAATTCGGTAATATCTCTATAAGTAATGCTTATTGGAACTTACAATATTGATAAATCTTAATTTGAGTATCATATTTATGAAATAAAACCATGAAAAAATTGTGTTACAGGATCTTTAACATTCATACACAATTACGTAAGCGGAGGAAAAACCATGTACAAAACCATTAACATATGTGCGCCTACAATACTGAAGCTATGTTTCCTATTGTTTTACGGCAATACATTTTTTTAAGCAAAGCTAAATTAAAATTTCTATGCATTCGTGTACATATAAAATGACTCCTATTTAAACTCTCATGTAAGGTTGAACAGGTTTGCGGATATTTTCTGAAAAGATTAAAGATACAGCCACCCTCATGTATGCCACGTAAGACTGGAAACACAACAACACACTTTTTCAAAAGATTAAGCTACATAGTGAACCGGGAGATCGGCATTTTTACGACCAACGCTCTCGAATGCTTTTAATAATTATTCAAACCTTGTCGTTGTGATCGTTCACATTTGTGGTCACTTGATTTTTCTTGTTCACTCCAATCCCTTATATCAGGTAGCCATCCGCCAAACTTACGGAATGTTGGTGATTCTACTCAGGTGCCCCTTCGTGCCTGAAATAATTCACTGATTGACACGCGAGGCCTTCCTCTACCAGAAAAGCTCGAAAGTTGCCATGATCTCTTCTGTGTTTGTGCAACGTAAAACCCAACCGAAAAATGTTGTCAAGACTTATTTTCTCTTTGTTTGATCTTTTTTTATTATTAAGGTCGAGTTGCGTAAGCTTGCTTTATTAGCAGATTTTATTCATATAACATAGATTTATTGCCTTACTGTTATTCTGAAAGTTATAAGTCCTCGGTTTTTTAACGGAGTTATAATGCAATTGATCATATCGCTAAACCTATTGATAGGATCGTGACAGCTAACATTAACGTTATTGAAGTTAGTGTATAGGGTATTATTATCAAATATATCAAATGTCTTTGTTATTTCTTAAGAGTGTTTTTGAGAAGTTTTTTTTTTCTAAAACTCAATGTCACTAGTTGTATTTCTTTATGTACTGATCGAACACAGTCTATGTTACAAAGCGGAAAAGCGGACCAAATTGATATAAGTTGAATACTACAATTCAACTATTTACTATTTCTTGTTTACTGCTCGTTTTAAGAAGTTCATTGTTTTTGGTGAAATCAAATTGTATTATTTTAGGGAGATATTGGTATTCTAAAGTAAGGGCTTGAACGGCAAAATAATAAATACCAAAGGTTCCATCACATGAATATATCATAACAGCCATGATAATGTTTATCAGATAAAATTTTATAACAAATATATTGTCTTGACTTTAAGAAAATAAAATTAATGCAATTTACTTCATTAAAGACATATTGTTCTAGTGAGATTTCGGGTTTGATAGTTTTCCGTCGTTCATGTGTCGTTTACAAACGTTTCAATTAATATTCTTCCTCTGAGGCGCCATTTCACATGTAAAGCATCTCAATTCAGTGTTGTTATATTTTCCTGGTCCTTTTATGTCATTTATTCCAACACTTTTATGTCTTGAAGATTGAATAGTGTTACGGGGCGTGGGGGTGATGCATTTTTTAGGTTTTCCTCATGTACAGTCTCAACAAACCAAGCCTGCAATTGTTTTAATTTGTTGTGAGTAATGCTCCCGAGGATCACACTTTGTTCAGACATTGTTTAATAGTGAAATATTTTTTAAACAAACAAATAAACGGGGAGTTGGGGTCAGCATTATTCTATCGTAAGGTACCACTGTCACTGTTCTAAAAATGATAATCATTTATCTTTATTATCTGATTATGAAAACGAATGAACAAATTAAGTTAATTATTATTAAACAGTCATGTTGAATTGAAGCAAATGGTAGTTTGTATTCCTTATATTTACTTGAAACTTAAAAACAGTCAGACAAATCGCACTTTTGTTTTTATTTTTGAATTATTAAAATCTGCAATTAGATTGCAAAATAAGATGATATGTATTGATGCGTCATCACTGCCGCAACCGATTATGGTCATACTTACATGCTGCTTACATTGGTATTTTATTCTTATATATACCTAAAACTGACAGATTCCGGCAGCAATAAAAAGTAAAATGTAGATATAATTGTAAATAGAACCACGTGTAAACCTGAATCCGGTTAGGGTGATTGTGTTTTTTACCGGCGCGTACTGAAACACCTTTAAAATTGACTCTGTTAGATTCTTTTGTTACATTCCGTACCTATCACATGTATCAATGAAGTTATTTCAGCTAAACACTGGCAAAAAAACATTCCTTTAAAAAATCAAATATGTTTAAGATTTGGGTTGGGTTCTTGGACTTTGGGTATCTCTGTTCAAGTTCTGATTTGTCTTTTTTTCGGATGGCAGTAGCTCCGTCTACATTCTAGATGTACAACATTTACAACTTATCACCTGTTAAATGTAACAACTGACTAAACGTTTTGATATTTCATAAAAGAAAATTAAATATTGTACAAAGATGATATAGCTAAGGGTATCAAATGTGATACAACAATCAAAATTGTGTATTTTCTCTTATAGCTACAATGCAAATTATTAATTTTACCTTTATTCAAGTTGACTTTATTTAGTCTGGGCAAGTGCAAGTCTTCCCTGTTTTGTTCAATCCTTGTATAATACTAGATCTACCTTAATAAGACATAAACGTCAAAGTTAATAAGGTTCGTGTGGAAAAACCTAGAATATTGAAAGAAAACTTCAACTCGTCGAAATGAAATTTCCTGTGTCTCCCTACTTCAAAGAATTAAAAAGAATTGACTAGTACCATATGTTGCCTATTAAGGTGATATCATGACTTTTTTACCGTTATTTAAAAGATCGTTGCTTTAATAAGGTTCAAATAGATCAACGCTATTTTTACCTTTATCTTCAAGTTACATTATGCTTAATCTGTCTGGTTAAGTTCAAATGACTATATATTTAAAACGATTTCATTTTAATGGCAATTGAACAATAATTGATTATGAAAATTGCCAAGGATAAAATATGATATATTGCCTGAAATATAAAAGGCCTTTTTATCAACGGAGAATTAACGACATATTCTGAAGGGTATCTATAGAAATTATTGTGATTCATGTGGGTTATTGATTATTTACATGGACTATTTTCTTAATTATAAAATTGGAAACTAATTTTGAAAAACTCAAGTTGTTTTGACTTTGACCTTTTCATCAACCTTTTATACTTGGATGGGCATAATGTCACTTTAATTTATGGATCTCATAATTAGTATGTCTCACGATCTTTTTGACTTTGGAATACAATTATTTAGTCTTAGTTTTTTCTACAGTTCGTTGTCAAAATACAGCAGTAATTTATCATAACTAACAATTAACTACATTTCAATATTTCAAATTGTATAACGGGGACAATCTTTCACTGGAGTAGTGCCAATGTCATTGTCTTCCAATAAAATAGATAAATACAGAATCCCTAAAGAAAGCCCAAGACGGCAAAATTGAAAACGTTGCAGGCTCGGTTTGATTGAGCCTGTTCATGGACGGTACTCGAAAGTGCAAGTACCGTCCACGCCCCCTAGCACCGGCTTAAGCAGAATTCAACATTTAACCATGAAATAGTACAATTTTGAATTTAGAAACATCCGCAGATGTGTTCATACGGCGGTTATCATGGAACCTTCAATGTGACACTTTCGTGCCATTCCATGAAAACGGCGTATGGTCCCCAAGTAAAAAAAGCGTGTGCCCTAAACGAGAAAAAAACAATGGGCAGAACTAAATAAAATTGAATTTTGAAAGGGAATCAGAGGTTATGAAGCCTTCCAAATCTCACAAGCTTGTTGAACTGCGTAATTACAAAACTGTCACGTTAAACACACATGACAGGAACAAATGTATATATTATTGACTTTCAAATTTTTTGATAAAAAAACAAGTAGGTCTGATTCAGGTTTTGAACCTAAATAGTATTGTTCTCAACAATGTATATTGACCTCTTACTCAAACTTTTTTTATACATTTTAGCGGAACTTTATTATCTCAAGTACAAGAATGATTTGACTCTGAAAAAGAAAACGAGGCTTGATGTAGTGCGATTTGCATTTGTTATAGATATGTTGGACTCTGAAATAAAATAAACAACGCTATAAAGGAGTACGGTATTATATGCATTTGTTATCGCATG